TAGTCTTGGGCCGACTCACCTTATTTTAGGTCTGCTCACCTTGTTTAAAAAAAAAAAAAAAAAAGGCCACTAATGGTCTTGGGCCTGAGGCAGAGGCCCCAGGACCGAGCCTGCTTGGACGTATATGGGGATGGCGCTCGGCTTGGCCCTTTAACTTACGAGCTTATGAGTTCACGAATCACGAGCTCGTGGGCCGGGTCGAGCTGAGCAGAAGCGGCCGAGCCAACGAGTCGCGCGATTCGTTTGACATCTCTAGACGTATAGCAGGGTCCACTACCTAATCATATTCATAATTATTATTGTTATTATTACAGCTTGGAAAGACACCATGTGTTAAAGGCAAAGGCGAGAAATTCTATTTTTTTTATTAAAAAAAAAAAAAAAAAAGGTAAAACGCATTTATTACTAGACGACAATTTATCTCCAGGCATGCAAAGCATTTTATCCATTATATCATCTACCTTGCTATGGACTCTGGTCAAATTTATTTTTCTGTCCCAGTCAACAGCTTATTTGCGTGGTATACTGGTACATACATTCCTACTCACATATATCTCTGGTTTAAATGCAAGCATGCGTCCTCCTCATCAAATTAATTTCATGCAACAATTAGTTTAGGGTTCAAATTTATTGATGAACACTAAACTTTATACTTTATTTCATCATGATTATCTAATTTTATTATTTTTTTAATTTTTTTTAATTTTTTATGGCCACCCAACTTTATAGTGAGTTTCATATGATGTTTTAACCATTACTATTCAACTTCTTTTAACATTTTTTTACTAATTTTAAAAGGGGTAACTTTTCATTATATATAAAAAAAATTTAAAAATAAAAAAATCTATTTAAAAAAAATACTTCAAGAATAAAATAAAACTTATTTTAAAGAAACGTTACTTAAAAAAATAAAATTAAAACTTAATTTTTTAAAAAAGTTAAAATTATTATTATTATTTTTTAATGCAAAGTTACCATTTTACTCACATTAAAATTAGTGAAAATGGTGAAAAGAAGTTAGGTGAACATGGTGAAATATTATATGAAATTAGGTGGCCATGGTGAAATAAAATCAAATTGAGTGGCCATGATGACACTAAGTATAAAGTTGAGTGCCATGATGAAACAAAATCAAATTGATTGACCATGACGAGACAAAGTATAAAGTTAGGTGGTCATTGTTGGATTTAACCCTTAATCTCGATATAAAAATTAAATGGAAAACTAGGGTCAATCTTTCTAACGACCAATATGATTTTGGATTTCATTTTTTAAAATTATAATATTTATGTGACTTTTAGTTTTAAAAAATCTTGGTAACTATATTATTATATTATCGTCCACACATAATTTCGAGAGTTACGAATGAAGTTTCGAGCTCATATTGGTCATGGGTATAGCACGATAAATACTCGGATATATTATCCACAAGATTAGTGTATTCCTCAAAGTTATGCATGGACGTTTTTGTCATTTGAGAGCTCATCGAGGGCTTTGATTTAGCATCTAATACAAGTAAATGTACAATGTTATAATCTATTAATAGTGCCATAAATATGAAGCAGAGCAGTAAATTCAATTATCTCAACGGGGAAAAGTTTTTGTTGGAGGGTTTAAAAACCTGGGATCTTAAATGCCTATTCATGGATAAAAATTGAATCCTATGGACATTATTATTACATGCAGTAGCCTAATATGGCAATAAGGTAAGTACTATTATTATAATAATAATAATAATAATAATAATAATCATCATCATCTAGACTGTATGGAAACACAAAACGTGTCAAGGTACGATATGATAGGAGAAAATTCCTTCTTTTTTTTTTTTTTTTTAAAGTAAGACGCGTTTATTATGAGAAGACAATGTGACTCGTGGACATGTATAACATTATACAGGGTCCTAGCACTTTAGTGAAATTTAATTTTCAGTGACAAACGACAGCTAGTTTGTATGGTACGTACTTATGGTACATTCCAACTCACAGTCAACATATACAACTGGTTTAAATGCAAACACGTCCAATATAGAGGATAAAGGAGGGACCCTCTCCATCAAATCAATTTCAAGCAATCATTGGTCTACAGAAAACAATTAAAGGGACTAGGGTGATTTTGGATTTTCACTTTTTAAAATAATAATTTTGGCTTGTGAATCTAGTTTTTCACATAATGAAAATAATTCATGTAAACGTTAAAATTGTAGATAACTCTTTTGTGATTGACTTTTATCATCTGCAATTTTAACGTCGATACTGACTGTGTCCATCACGTAAAGGATCAAGATTCAAAGAATTTAGTAATTTGGTGAATTTAAAATCTCATGTTAACCGTTATGGAGTTAAAAGATTGTTATCAAAAAAAGTTGTGGAGCCCATTCCTAATTTTTTCAAATAATTAATTAATAATATGCAGCACATGTTTATTGTTTAAGCTTTCTTATGAAAATCCCTGAAATCGTATGTTACAATAAAGCAAAATATTTAAATAAATATCAAATGTTACACTCATTCCATTTCACGCATATTGAATATAAACAATGTTTTCACAATAAAGCAAAATATTTAAATAAATATCAATGTTACACTCATTCTTCCATTTCACGCATATCGAATATAAACAATGTTATATATATATATATATATAGAGAGAGAGAAGCACGAAGAATGTAGAGAAATTCTTGAGGAAGCATCAATTCCAAAACTAAGGATAGGAACCCATTCCAATCGCATTGGTGGTATATTAACTTGAATCACATTGAGAGCCTATTTGACAATCATTATTGTAGAAAAAATTTTGAATAATAATTTTTAGGAGAATGTATGGTTAAAAATATGAAAATAAATTTGGTATATATGTGTGTGTGTGTGTGTGAATGTACATTTAAAAATGATCATGTAGCAAATCATAAAATAAACTAATGGGTATCAAACAGGTACTAATTATCTACACATGAAATCTGTCATTTCATAGTAAAAGAAATTTACAATTATTATTTCTTAATAAGTTCACCTATATATAGACACATGATCAGAGGTCTTATATGGGACGAGTTGAGTCGTCAACTCAATCCATGAAAGTTCGGCTTGACTCGTCTCACTTGCTCGTTCACTGTTGAGGTGAGTTGAGCCTAGCGACTCTCCATAAATTTATCATTTTTTTAACAAAAAAATGCATATTTCTCAGTATTTGACAAGTTGATTATCAAGCCAACAAGTTCACGAATCAGCTCGCTCGAACCGATGAGTGATTCACATTATCAATTTGACAAAAACATAGGAGGATCCACCTACAACGTATTAGAATTGAATTATCACGTTATTTGATTATAAAATTCAAAAAAAATCTCACTACAATGAAGATATAAAAAAAATAAGGATTTTGGTTTGTGTTTCAATTTCAAGTTTTAGTTTGAGTTCGTTTTCAATTTTTTATTTTCAGGGTTTGTTTTGAGATTGCTAAAAATACGTTTGGTTTTTTATTTGAAAATTTATTTCTCAAAACAAAAATTTAGAAAATACATTTGATTTTGAAATTTTGAAAAAGATTAATTAGTAAAAATATAACAATTTTATGTTAATATATTATCGAGTAATATATACATTTTAAAGTTATTGATCAATCTTACAATATTTTTCTGACCACAAAAGTAAAACAAAAATAAAAATTAATTATGTGAATTGCAAATATTTTTATTTGTACTCTTAAATATATTTTTTAAATTTTTTATGTAAATAATCATTTAGAGCTTGAACTATTTTAATTTTTAATATTTTTATTTTTCTAGAATGTTTTATAATTTGTTTTTAATTTTTTTTTGAATTTTGGAATTAATTTTTTTTCAAAATTTTTTTATTTTTTAAATTTAGTTTTTTTGAATTTTAATTTTAAAAATTTCTAAAATTTTATTTTTTAAATTAATTTTTATTCAAACATTTGTTCATGTTTTGAGTGTTTTTAGAATTTTTATTAAAAACGCTTGAAACGTCATGTCAAAATTTCTTTTTGTGTTTTATATTATAATTTTGACATTATTTTTGAAAATGCATTTTCAAAAATATTAGAGCAAACACGTTTTCAATATTTTATAAAATTGAAAATTGAAGATAGGTTGAAAACAGCAAATCAAACGCACTTTAGACTTCAAATTTTCGTTTTTCAAAATTTATTGCACCAAATGTAATTTCATGTGTTACTAAACAGGTAACATTCAAGAATGTACAATGCAGTCTATCCTCATCAGACTTACTAGAAAATCATGTATATTGTCATCTTTAAATATGTGACATATTATAGTCAATTGAACAATAATAAATACTATTAACTCGATAAAATAATTTGAATAGTTATTCATTACTCGAATTGTATAGACTTCTATACATTATCTTCTTGTGCTCAATATTTTGAAAATCGGACATGATTCATCGATTCGTTGGACAACTAGAAGGCAATCGAGAAATAAATTTTGTTAACCAATTTGTTTGAGCACAATATTTTGACAATTTGGACAGGATATTTATACCTAAGAATCTTAAAAATCATTTAAACCAATCAAAAAGTCGGCCAGTTCACCTCAAAATTTATCTTGACTTCTCATACTTTCTGGATTGACACGCTCACCGCTCACCGATTTTTAATGTATATTAGCCTTTGGGCATAGTCCAGTAGTACAAAAGACAAGAGTGAGATTATCTCACACCTTGCTAACAGTCGCAGTGTGGGGGTTCGATTCCTGAGACATGGAATTGGATTCCTTGTAGGCGTAATGTACAGACAATTCTTGTTCCCTGACCTGTTGGGACACATTCAACAATTTACTTTCTTCACAAAACTCTAGAGATGGGGCGATGGGTGACTTCAAGGTTGGGTTCAACCTTTGATTTTTAATGTATATTAGTTGTGCAAGGTCATCATGAATGATGGGTAAAAGGCTGGGGTCATCTGTGTCGGGTCTGTCTCTCCCTCTATTTATACACACCAATTACCTAAACACACATTGCACACCGAAAACACATGTAAAAATTTCAATTACACTTCCATTTATTATATATAAAAACACCTACCGCTCTCTTGTCATTCAACTCTTTCTCTGATCTCTATAGTATTTTCATATAATTTTAACAAATTTACACTCTGATCCATCAATTCTCATCAAGCCTCGAACCCTTTTTTCACCATGGCTGAGGCACCAAACTTGGAAACTAGGCGGAGTAGCTCAATCTCTCTAAAGAACCCGAAACACCGGCAAAAGCGAAGCAACGACGGTGAGTTGAATCGGACGAATGATGGCATTAAGAGAAGGAAAAGCAGTGATAGTAGTAATGCTAATAGCAAGCATCCAGTTTACAGAGGAGTGCGAATTCGGGCATGGGGAAAATGGGTATCGGAGATCCGAGAGCCAAAGAAGAAGTCTCGGATCTGGCTCGGGACTTTCGCTACAGCGGAAATGGCGGCCAGAGCGCACGATGTCGCCGCCATCGCCATCAAGGGTGGCGCTGCCATTCTAAATTTTCCAGAGATATCCCACTTGTTGCCTCGCCCCGCCACTTCGTCTCCACGTGATGTCCAGGCCGCTGCCACCAAGGCTGCCAACATGGACAATCTCTGCACATCGTCTTCGTCCTCATCCTTGGTAAATTCATCGTCAGAAGATGTGATGACGTTTAATGAAGAGGTGCAAAACCAAGAGGAGCTGAGTCAGATAGTCGAGCTGCCGAGTCTAGGACCGAGTTATGACGATGATTTCGTGCTCGGAGAATATTCGGAGTGGGACTATAATCAACCATGGTTGCATAGTTTACAAGATTGTGGATTTTTTGAAGAAAACATGATTGAAAATATCATATCGGACAGTTGTGAAGGCCTTTTATGGTAGCATAATTGAGGAGAATTTTGACAAGTTGGGTTTGTCTGTATTTCGTTTTACATTTTCCTTTTAGCTTTTTAAATTTTGACAAATGTTATCTTTGAATACAAGTATCTATACATTTTACTTTTGATTGGTCCAAACTATGTACTTGCCTTGCATCCGAAGTTCTCACAGTTTTTCGCCCCATTTTCCTGTTGATCGGATTAAAGAAAAAATTGTACTCTCTCTCTCTCTCTCTCTCTCTCTCTCTCTCTCTCAATGAATTAATAGAGCACAGGGCAATAAGAACATATTCACTATTGATTTTTCTCCCCAAAATATCAATTATTTTTTTACCGTTATTTCATTATTTCAGCAGTCATTTTTACTTCTTCACTTATAGGTAGATCTACTTTTTTCTCTAACGATCAAAAAATCAATTCTCAAAATCACTGCTGAACAAGCCTTAAAACTTGAAGGGAGTTTGGCTGTCATTGTCTTATTTCGAGGTCCATTCTTTATGGTCATTTAATAGGAATAATAATTAATTCTATTTTCATTACTTGAATTGTCTTTTAACACCTAATGGTTGGTTTCCTCTGAAGTTTCTCCTAGAATAGTTTGAAGCTCGGTGAGAGTTCTGTTGGGAACAAACAATGATTAGAGGCATCGAAGGTGCAACGCCATCAGCCCATTGTCAAACTTTAAATAGGTAGGAAGGAATAATTGCTTTGTTGAGTCATGCCATGGAATCAAGAGCTTCATGTGAGCCATTTTTGGTCAGCAGAATTAGCAATGAGGGATGAATCGAAATTTGGGTGTCGATCGATTAAGACAGTAAGACAATGATCATGGATAGAACAATGATCATGAAAACGACAATTTTTATATCTCGATCAAGATATTACTATTCTTAAAGACTCATTTCAAAATGATTGATAATTATCAACTTCCCCCTTATAACCCATGCCTTTGCATAAACAAGTAAAAAAGACCATCACATGATAAGGATTTTGAGGGTTTGTTAGAACTCCATAAGTCATTTTAGTCTTAATCAAGGGTTGTTACAATTGCCCTTTTCAATCTATAGGCTTAATGAAGCCAAGGAAAATAATATAAAAAAATGTCACACTTCATCATAATTAATATTAGAAATGATTAGTTTTTTTTTTTTGGCGTTTTGGCCTGTTTATTAATTGAGAATGGTAGGAAAAGAATAGGATAATATATGAAATGACTGATAATATCTAGTTTTGAACTATGTTTAACGCCATAGTAATTTCATTATGGAATACAATCAAATTAGTTAAAAAAAATAAAAAAAAA